ATCTTGGATTTCTGAATTTAGATTATGCCTCTCTATTTTCCTAATAGAACAACTGATTAACAGAGCCACCTATCCACCGCTTCTTGGTTGTTGTCCTTCCCAAATGTCATCTATTCTTTGATATTAATGTTCCAATCATGATGCTCCTGCAGCCATGTCTCTGTGATTGCTATTAGATCCAGCAACACCCAAAAAGCTAGATATCATCCATGATAAAACACCACACTTGATTGGGACTCCATCCATTACCTTCAATATCCACGTCCTTCACCACAGATGAGCAGTGGCAGCGGTATATACCATCTACAAGATGCAGTAGCTCACCAAGGCTCATTGGATAGCACGTTCCAAACCTGCAACCTCTATCACCTAGAAGGATATGGGCAGCAGACGCACAGAAACAGCACAACCTGCAAGATCCCATTCTTGTCGCTATTCCCAGCTACTTCACGCTGCCATTCTTTGGGGCGGCATGGTGGCTCAGTGGTTAGCACTGCCGCCTCACAGCACCAGGGACCCGGGTTCAATTCTAGCCTCGGGCGACTGTCTGTGTGGATTTTGCACATTCTCCCCGTGTCTGCGTGGGCTTCCTCCAGGTGCTTCGGTTTCCTCCCACAGTCCAAAGATGTGCATGTTAGGTGGATTGGCCATGCTAAATTGCCCATAGTGTTCAGGGATGTGTAGATTAGGGGGGTTACAAGGGGACAGGTCTGGGGGGGATGCTCTGAGTTTCGGTGTGGAATTGTTGGGCCGAAGGGCCTGTTTCCACACTGTAGGGATTCTATGATTCTAAAGATCACCGACAAGCCGCATATCATCCGAACTTGGAACTATATTGCCCTTCCTTCACTGTGTCCTAAATTCCTTTCCTAGCAACACTGTGCATATACCTATACCCCAAGGACTGCAGCAATTCAAGAAGGCACTCACTATCACCTACTTCAGAAGAACTTGGGGATGGGCAATAAAAATGCAGACAGCACATGAACAAATAAATTATATTGAATTTTCATAATATTCAAGGCTATGGGCCTAGTGCAGGAAAGTGGGATTAGTGTAGATATCAGAGTATTTTTGGCAGTATACACTCAATGGGCCAAATGGCCTCTTCTATACTGTGTGATTCTATGGTATCCCCATTCAATTAGTGAAATATTTCCACTAGCTCACAGTGGCTACAAGAGCAGATCAGAAGCTGGGAATACTGCAGCGAGCAACTCACCTCCTGACTCCCCAAAGCCTGTTCACCATCTACAAGGCACAAGTCATGGAATACTCCCCACTTGCCTGGATGAGTGGAGCCCCAACAACACCCAAGAAGCTTGACACCATTCAGGACAAAGCAGCCCGCTTGATTGGCACTACATCCAGAAGCATCCTCTCCCTCCACCACCGATGCTCAGTAGCAGCAGCGTGTACTATCTACAAGATGCACTGCAAAAATTCTCCAAAGACCCTCAGACAGTATCTTCCAAACCCATGACTACTTTCATTAGAAGGACAAGGGCAACAGGTTTATGGGAACACCACCACCTTCAAGTTCCTCTCCAAGCCACCCACCATCCTGACTTGGAAATATATCGCCGATCCTTCACGTCGCTGGTCAAAATCCTGGAATTCCTTTCCTAATGGCATTGTGGGTCAACCCACAGCAGGTGGACTGCAGTGGTTCAAGAAGGCAGCTCACTACCACCTTCTCAAGGGCAACTAAGGATGGGCAATAAATGCTGGCCAGCCATCAACGCCCACATCCCAGAAATGAATAATAATAAAAAGAAACCGTGTTTTCCTATTGCCGGAGGATTAGCTAGAATTGGTAACGTTTTAGTATAGGTAAGATCAGCGACTGAAAGGACAGAAAACCTAAGTTCACACAAGTCCAAAGGTAAAATGCGTCTAATTCATTAAATGATTTTTGTGAAAAATTGTAATGTTTGTTGGAGAACAGCTAAACAGGTTTTAACCTAAACAGGTTAAACTGGTCAATGCAGAGTCATGTCGCAATTACATAATGTGGAACGTTTAGCAATACTTCTGCTGAAAAGTCAGTTTTACTACAATGTCAGGTGTGAAGAGGCCCCCGTTAACTTCACTGTTACGGGACAACAGTAAAACTATGAACCTTGAAGATACAATTTCTTCCTTGTCTCATCAACCAGAGTTGTTACTTACGCTAGAACACAAACAACATGTTATCAGCAAATCCCAAAGACAAACGCCAAAAATTACAAAGCAGCATCCTTTCAATCAATCAAAATAATGCTCATGGAAACCAGTTATTTGGTTGCCAACTGGCTTTCACAAAATGGTTAAACTACAATGTTCCCAAACTCAAGACGCATAAATGTCTGTTAATGCCAATGGTTAGATTCAAATAGCAGGAAAAAAAAACAAACACACTTTTAAAATATTTTAGTTCAACAGTTCCTTATTGATTAAAGTAATTTGGTCAAAAGAATAATATGGCTCTGTTGCTAAATTTTCTAATGTAAAACATTTAATTTAACAAACGTTAAATGGTAAATGGGGAATTGGTTAGTACCATCATACGAATTAGGAACAGGAGTCAGCCTTACAGCCCCTTAAACTTGTTCCACAATTCAATAAGACCACTGCTGATATTATTCTGGGCTCAACTCCATATTCTCACTCAACCAATACCCTTAGAGTCCTAGGACTTGAAAGGTATACTAATTCAGTACCAACTTTAAAATACCACTTCCATCTCGAAGGATAAGGGCAGCAGATACATAGGAATACCAACACCTGCAAATTCCCCTCCAAGTCATTCACCATCCTGATTTAGAAATATATCATCTTTCCTTCACTGTCACTGGGTGAAAGTCTTGAAATTCCCTCCCTAATGGCATTGCAGATCAACCTACAGCTTGTGAACTGCAGCAGTTTAAGAAGGTAGCTCATCACCAACTTCTCAAGGGCAACTAGGGATGGGCAATAAATGCTGGCTGGCCAGCAACACCCATATCGCACAAATGAATACAAAAATATTAAATGGAAATATAATTAGAACTTAACAGCATTTTAAAAGTTTGCTCCTATTTTAATTTACATCAAAATATAAAAATATGACCCATCTTTTACATGCCAAACTGAAAAGAGTACTGTGGTGCAAGATTACAGTTATTCCTGTAAGTACTTACAGAAAGTCAATGTAATTGTTAAACTTGCAGTCACTGAACTTTGTAAAACATCAAATTGTCAAAATAAAACTGCATGTCTTCCAGAACTGATACTTATATTACACCTTTCATAACCTCAGGATGCCCCAAAGTGCTTTGCATCCAATCAAATACAGTATTTTGTTTATTGATTGGTCGCTATTGAATTGTAAAATAGACGACAGTCAACTTGTCTAATGCAAGGTCCCAAATGCTACATGAGACATTGGTTAAGGGAACAATATTAGACAAGGTAACACAGTCCCATGAACTTCAAACAGTGCTGTGGAATCTTTTACTTTCACCCAAGAGGACAGATGTGGCTTTGATGTAATGTATGAAAGACAGCACTTCCTAAAACAGGACCGTAGGATCACTGTAAACTGTTTGCTGAATTCTTTGGACTCTGGAGTGTAACCTGAATTGGCAACCTGCTAACACATCAGTGCTACCACTGATCCATAATTCATATTTTCGGGTGCAATGTGTGCTTAAAGGTACACGTTTGAATCCAACAGAAATGTAAATTGAATCTATAAAACATCAAACTTACAAGAACTTAAATACATAACTTCCAGTATTATTGTACAACAACAAATTTATTAAAATCTTATTTGGATGACTTAGAATATATTGATTATATTCAAAATGATAAATTATTCAAAGAAGTATGTACAGCATAAATGAAGGGCTCAAAATAATTAAACCTCATCAGGATCATGACCTCTAAGAACTGGTGATACAAGAACAGGAAAATGTGAAAAAGGCACGTAAAGGAGTAAACCATGGTTGCTAACAGAAAACAAGCTCTACAGCTTATTTGTTGAATACATTTGTAGCAGTTTTAAAATGAGATGAGAACAATCTTAGATGTGGAACTTTTAAAACAATGCGATTTGCGACTGCTTAAAGGTAAAGCTGTCAATCATATAGGAGAAATACTTCCCCATGGTTTACTTATTTGAAACAAATAGTGTCTGAAACTTGATTAAAACTGTTTTTTTAAATTTTAAACAGCTGATGAGTCTGTATTTATCAATGTATAAACACAGCCAAAAGCAGTTTCCAGGTCCCTTGTTAACAAAAGAAAATAAGAATGAAGTTCCTTTACCAAATTTGGTGAAAGCCAAATGAAAACATGAAGTTACTGAGAGGAGAAGTCAATTTTCAAATGCTAGAATGTTTACAAGTTCAGTTCAGAGGTTTCTGCTGTCCTTTAAGTACTTTTCAAAAAATAAGTTCAAAGAATGGCAACAACAAAATCTGATATACATTTAAAAATTTATGGCAAAATTAGAATTTAAGTGAGTATTCAAATAGAATTACAGAGGTATACAGCATGACAGATGGAGCTTTAAAGCTCAAATTTTCTGTGTTTGATGAGGATCGTACACTTACAAAGATGGTTTAGATCTGAGATGGTTAACCAACAAGCAAAGTTCAATCAAGTGCCTGCACCCAGATGCTTCTTGTATGGAGAGCTTAAAACTGAAACAAGTGAATGATATTAAAATGGACATAAGGTAAGATAACATTAACGCCATAGAGATTTCAAGAATTGCAAAGGACACTGAAGTTTGGATCATTGTTTGTACCCATGGAAGGAGAAACATAAAATTTAGACATCAAGTATACTTGGATCATATACAATCCAGTTACAATGCAAGGATTATCTTTATTTTCACTGCATTTTATGAGAAGAAATACAAGTAGCAAGGTTTGTTAAAGAAAATATGATTTCATTTTAACAGGAAACAAACCATATCTCTAACTGTTATGAGTGCAATATATGCAAACGAGGTTTTAAAAATAGCAACCTACCTCAATTCCAATCTCAAAACCCCCACCAAGACCAGCAATGCCTATTGCTGAAGGAGCAGACCATCCTGTTTGAACCAAATATAAATTCAAACATTTTAATCAGAAATAAGGCAAAGGAATGATTGTTTGAGCTAAAAGAAGACATTTTCTGTTATTCATTCTCAATCCTGAAGCAATTTGCCTGAGTCAGCTTTGGTATTCAGATCTAAAACATTCTCAACCAGTCCAATGGTGAAAACTATACTTAAGCAACTTTATTGTTGAAGTGTTGAAGCCTTGTACCAATAACATTATAGAAGTCCACACATACCTACAGAAGTGAAATAATTTTACTGTCTACAAAAATGTAAGAAGTCACAACACGAGGCTATAATCCAACAGGTTTATTTAAAATCACAAGCTTTTGGAGTGCTGCTCCTTTGTCAGGTGAAGTGACAGGTGGAGACTTCACCCAGCGAAGAAGCAACACTCTGAAAGCTTGGGATTTCAACTAAACCTGTTGGACTATAACCTGGTGTCGTGTGGCTTCTGACTTTGTCCACCCCAGTCCAACAATGGCAACTCCACATTACGAAAATGTGAGCAGAAGTATTTCAGATAGATAGTAAAAGAAAAAGCACTGAAAACTCTTACTTCCATCTGGCAGGCGGCGCAACACAATTCCACTGCCTCCACGAGCAGTTACTAAAAATCCAGCTTTAATCACAGAGATGATAGCAAGTCCTTGCGCTTTAGCTATCACATGAGCTTTAAAATTAACAGAAAATAAAGTGAGAACTAATAAGTATATCACTTCATAAAATAAAAACTTTAATAAATCTATTTCTTGAATAATTGGTAAACCCATCTTGTAAGCACTCACATCCTAAAGGAACTCAAGGGTTAAGAGCAAAAGCTGAATACATAACAGAGAAAGGTTCTTGAATTCATAGATAATTCACAACAAACTCTTTCAGTCTTGAAAAGTGAAGGTGAAGCAGAACATAAATAAATGCGTTCATAATTATCTAATCTTCTTTAAAGTATTTTGCTTCTTATTCATTCAAGAGAATATGAGCATCTCTGGCTAATCTAACAATTATTGCCCATCACTAATCACCCTGGAGAAAGTTTTGGTGAGCTGCCTTCTTGAACTAGCGCAGTCCTTAGGGTGTAGGAACACCCACAGTGCTGTTAGTAAGGGAATTCTCGGATTTTGGCCCAGTGACAGTGAGGAATAGTGATCTATTTCCAAGTCAGGATGGTGCGCGACTTAGAGGGAATTTTGCAGGTGGTTGTGCTCCCATTTATCTTCTGTACTTGTCATTCAAGGTATTAAAGGTCACGGTTACGGATAGTGCTGTCAAAGGATCTTTAGTGAGTTGCTGCAGTACACTGTTACTACGCATCAGTATTTAAGGATAATTCAGGTGAATTTTGAAGGTGGTGGATGGGATGCCAGTTCAAGCAAGCTGCTTAATCTTGGTTGGTGTCAAGCTTCTCGAGTGTTGTTGGAGCTGCACCCATACGGGCATGCACAGTTTATTACATCACACTTATACAAGGCAAAAAGGCAAAAAGAGAAACAGGAGATGAGGTACTTCTTGCTGAATTCCCAGTCTCTGACCTGCTCTTCTAATCACAATATTTATATGGCTCATTCAGCTGAGTTTCTGATCAATGATAATGCCCAGAATGTTGATAGGGGAAATTTCAGCAATGGAAATGGCATTGAACTTCAAGCTGTGATGGTCAGATTCACTCATATTAAAGATAGTCATTGCCTGGCACTTGTATGAGGCAATTATCCGTACAAGCTTGGATATTCTCAAGGCCCTAATACCATGATGTTGGACTGCTTCAGCATCTGAGAAGCTGTGAATGGTTCTGAATATTGTGCAATCATCAGCAAACATCCCCTCTTGCAACATTATGATGGTTGGAAGGTCATTATTGATGCAGCTGGAGATGGTTGGACCCTAGGATATTAAGGAATTCCTGAAGAGGTGCCCTTGAGATGAGGTGACAGACCGTTTTTCTCGGTATGACTCTAATCAGGGGAGAATATAACCCCTGATTCCCACTGAATCCAGCTTTGAGAGGTTTCCTTGATGCTTTAATCAGGTGAATGCTGCCTTGTTGTCAAGGACAGTCATTCTCACAACACCCTGTGGAATTCAGCTCTTTTGCCTGTATTGGACCAAGGTTGTAATTAAGTAAAAAGTCAAGTGGCTCTGGTGGAAATGAAACTGAGCATTAGTACGCATATTATTCTTTTGCATGTCCTACTTAATAGCACGGTCAACAACCCCTTACATCACTCTGCTGATAATCGAGAGTAGATTGATAATTGGCTGGGTTGAAATTATCCTGGTTTTTGAGTACCTGGCCAGTTTTCTGCATTGCTGGGTACATGCTAATGCTGTAACTGTACTGAAACAGTTTAGCCAGGGGTGCAGCTAGTTCTGGAGGACAAATCTTCTGTACTATTGCTAGAATGTTGTCAGGGCCTTTGTAATATTCACTGTCTTCAGCCATTTCTTGATAGTACATGAATTCAATTAAATCGCTGTGATGCTAGCAACCTGAGAAGGAGATCCAGATGGATCATCAACTCAACACTTCTGGCCCTAGATTGATAAAAATAATTCACCCTTGTCTTTTGTATTTATGCATCAGGCTCCAAAATTGTGTTGGTTGTTTAATTTTCTTACCATTCACAACTATGAATGGCAGGACAGCAGGATTGCAGAGCTCATACCTGATCCATTGGTGTGGATCGCTTAGCCCTGTCGATTGCACGCTGCTTCTGTTGTTTGGAATACACATGTTATAACTTCATCAGGTTTATACCTCATTTGTAAGTTTGCCTGATGTTGGTGGTTTCCTTGCCCATCTTTGACCTGATGCTACGATAGCATGGTGTCCAGAGACAATCTTGAGGAGTCCCAAGGTAACTCCTTCCCAACTGTATACCACTGTGATGCTACCTCTGTCAAACTTTGTCTGTTATGTGGAGGTGCCGGCATGGGACTGGGGTGGATAAGGTCAGAAATCAGACGACGCCAGGTGACAGTCCAACAGGTTCATTTGAAAACACAAGCTTTTGGAGCCCCAGTCCTTCGTCGGGTGTTAGTGAGAGAGGTAGTATCAGACACAAAATTAGAACTAAAAGATCAAAGGCTCACACTGATGAGGATGTATTAAACAAATCTAAGATGCTGTTAAAACTTTAATCAGTTAGAAGGTTTTAATTGACTGATATGTATATGTAAATCCCCGAATTCCTTTCAAGTCATGGTCCTGAGAGAACTAAAGGTTTTATCAGCATCAGCGGAGAAACTATGTCATGCAGAGAAACACACACACTCTCTCTCTCCCTCCTCTTACCCACACACACATACTCACTCACTCCCTCCTCACACACACACACTCTCCCTCTATGGGGTGAATCTGGCATAGAATCATAGAATCCCTACAGTGTGGAAACAGGCCCTTCGACCCAACAAGTCCACACTGACACTCAGAGCATCCCACCCAGACCCATCCCCCTTTAACCCACCTAATCTACACATCCCTGAACACTACGGGCAATTTAGCATGGCCAATCCACCTAACCAGTACATCTTTGCATTGTGGGAGGAAACAGGAGCACCCGGAGGAAACCCACACAGACACCGGGAGAATGTGCAAACTCCATACAGACTGTCGCCCGAGGCTGGAATCAAACCCGGGTCCCTGGTGCTGTGAGGCAGCAGTGCTAACCACTGAGCCACTGAGCCACTGTGCCGCCCCAAATGTTTAATGTTTAAAGTTTTTTTTATATTCTTTCATGGGACGTAAGACATTTGGATAAGTACATGAATAGGAAAGGTTTGGAAGGATATGGGCCAGGAGCAGGCAAGTGGGACTTGTTTAGTTTCGGATTATGTTCAGTATGGACAGGTTAGACCAAAGAGTCTGTATGACTATGACTCTGTCATGAATCAGGCAGCTTTTTACAACATAGTGTAGAGCTGGATGAACACAGCAGGCCCAGCAGCATCATAGGAGCAGGAAGGCTCTGATGCTGTTTGGCCTGCTGTGTTCATCCAGCTCTACACCTGGTTATCTCAGATTTTCCAGCATCTGCAGTTCCTACTATCTCTGATAGCTTTTTACAACATCTTGGCTACGTAGCTTTTAATTCCAAATAACTATTAAATTCATATTTTACCATCTGCCATGGTGGGATTCAAACCCATGTTCCATCAGGACCTCGAGGCTACTAATTTCTGGATTACTAGCAGTGCCACATGCTAGTGAAGCAAGGAAAAGAAAGATAGAACAGATGAATGCATGGCTAAGGAGCTGGTGCGGGGACACGGTTTCAGGTTGTTGGATCATTGGGATCCCTTCTGGAGCATGGGTGACTTGCATAAGGGGGCAGGGGTTGCACCTAAACTGGAGACAAACCAATATCTTCGCAGGACGGTTTGCTAGTGCTACTTGGGAGGGTTTAAACTAGAGTGGTAGGGACCTGGGAATCAAAGCAGCAGGTCAGCAAGTAGAGAGATTGAGGGGAAGGTAGATAGAGTCATAGAGCTGTACCGCACGGAAACAGATCTTTCGGTTCAACTTGCCCATGCCGACCAGATATCCTAAATCAATCCACTCCCATTTGCCAGCATTTGGCCCATATCCATCTAAACCCTGCCTATTCAATACCCATCCAAAAGTCTGTTAAATGTTGTAACTGTACCAGCCTCCACCACTTCCTCTGGCAGCTCATTCCATTCATGCACCACCCTCTGTGTGAAACAGTTGCCCCTTAGGTCCCTATTAACTCTTTCCCCTCACCTTAAACCTATGCCCTCTAGTCCTGAACTGCCATAACCCAGGGAAAAGACCTTGGCTATTTACCCTATCCATGGCCCCTCATCATTTTATAAACCTCTATAAGGTCACCCATCAACCTCCAATGCTCCAGGGAAAAAGAGCCCCAGGCTAATCAGCCTCTGCCTCTAGCTCAAACCCTCAACCCTGCAACATCCTTGTAAATATTTTCTGAACCCTTTCATGTTTCACAACATCCTTCCTATAGCAGGGAGACTAGAATTGAATGCAGTATTCCAAAAGTGGCCTAACCAATGTCCTGTACAGCCACAACATGACTTCCCAAGTCCTATAGTCAATGCACTGACCAAAAAAGGCAAGCATACAAAATGCCTTCTTCACTATCCTGTTTACCTGGGACTCTACTTTCAAGGAATTATGAACCTGCACACCAAAGTCTCTTTGTTCAGCAACACTCCCCAGGACCTTACCATTAAGTGTATAGGTCCTGCCCTGATTTGCCTTTCAAAAATGCAGCACCTCACATTTATCTAAATTAAACTCCATCTGCCACTCCTCAACCCATTGGCCCATATGATCATGATTCCGTTGTACTCTTTGAGGTAATCTTCTTTGCTGTCCACTACACCTCCAATTTTGGTGTCATCTGCAAACTTACTGACCATACCTTCTCCCTGGATTCCATACCTTGCTAACCAGTCTACCATGAGGAACCTTGTCGAACGCCGTACTAAAGTCCATATATCACGTTCATCACCCTGCCTTCATCAATCCTGTTAGGTTTTAAGATGTTAGAATCAGTAAATCAGAAAGAGAGGACAGGAAGAGACAGGTAAACGAACATAATGGTACTAATAGGCTGAATTGTGCTTATTTCAATGCAAGGAGTATTATAAGTAAGGCAGATGAGCTTGCAGCCTGTATCAGTACAT